CTGTGTCCAGAGAAGAACATCTTGGGCTGACCCCCTGCTTGGCAGCCCAGCATCTAGTCCTTGGCAGCTGGACCCACCCAGTGGATGGTGCTGAGAATGACTCACAGCCTAGACCACCTCTCTGTTCTTCAGGCTCCATACCAGGCCTTTAGAATTACACACACACACACACACTCACACACACACGCACACGTGCACGCACGCGCACGCACACACGCACATTTTCACCCCCTCCAGAGGGAGCAGAGAGCATTGATTTTCCCTGACAAAGGCCCTTTGCCCAACATTGTTGTAGGGTTTTGGGGTTCCTTAGTCTCTGACTATGGTGTGAGAAGAATTCACAATTACATCTTTAGCAGAAGCAAAGTTTACTTAGAAACAGAATAAAGGACACCCATGAAGAGGTGCCCAGACAGCAGGCTCCAGAAAGCTTGCTACATCCCTTCCTGAGGTGTACTGTGTGGGCGCTCCCAGGGTGTTGGTTTATTGGTCCAGAAAGCAGGTTTTAAGTTACCCCCTTCTGCTGTGTTCCTGGTATGTAGGGGTTTAGTTTTATCAGCTCAGCAGCTGGGGTTGGGGAGAAAGGGGGGGACCGTTTGGCTGGAGTTGCCATGGTGTCAACCAGCTTTGCCCTTCCCTTGGGGCAGCATTTGTGTTTTTTAGGGGAAAATTACTTTACTATCCAAAAATCTGCCAATGTCAAGGAATCCCCTCCTCCACCACTCTACCCCACCCCTCACTTCTTGCTCTCCTTCGGCTTTTGCCTATAGGTTGGCGTCCTTGGCGACTCCCCAGACTTTATTGAATCTAGCAAGTGTGTCCTGGGGTCCTGGGTATAGTTGGCTATGCAATTTTCTTTAGGCATCGCCCTCCCTGCCCTAAATGTCTAAGAATGCAGTTTTAGCCCATCCACTGCCTTCTCTCAGGCAAGAGACCGAGTCCAACCCATTGCATGTCCCAAGTCCCAAGGACAACTCCGCAAGTCCTCAAATGGTCCCTGAAAAAGCCCCTCCCGCCAGGCTTGCACCAGGCAAACGCGCCCACTTCTCTCCTTCCTGGGAGTTGGGAGGGGGATCACAGATATCTCCTGAGGACTAACCTCAAGATCTTCTACCCTTTTGGTGCTTTTATCAATTCATCCAGGTCAGGAGCCCTCCCAGGAGGCCCCAAGGGCCACGCAACAGGTTCACGGTCAGCTACCAGCACGCGGTCTGGTGGGAAATTATAGACTTGGATTCTCATGGGGAGCTACAGAGGCTTGCAGGGTTTTGTTCCCACTCTGAACAGACCAGATTCTTGACTGCAGTGGGGCACCAAGGGCGACACCCCAGATCCTACCCAAAGGCATGTGTGACTCCCACCCCAACAAGGAAGTGACAAGGTCTGAGTAATGATTTTAAAACTTAACTCAGGCTTTTGGTTGGAAATTGAATTTTGGTTGTGGCAACTAAAAGTGGAAAGAGGGGGACCGAAAAGGAGTTGGGATATGTAAACAGTGGACATGTGGCTGGAGGGATAGGTGGGCGGGTGGGGGGTGGGTGACTAGGTAGATGGGTAGATGGAGGGGTGGGTGGGTGGGTGGATGGATGGATGGATGGGCAGATGGACGGACAGGATGGATGGAGAAAATGGACATTCCTCAAGACACAGGGGGAACAAGTTCTAGGAGAATAAGGAGTTAATGGCTTAGAGGCTCTCAGAAGGTCAAGAGGACTTCAGGGACAGGAGGGGGCATGGTCAGACAGATTTATGTAGATATTTCTTCTGAATTGTGCCTTGAAGGTAAGCAATATTATTGTTTCATATTAATATTATTTACCATTTACTAAATTCTTTGAAGTTATAATCACGCATTCTCTTCTGTAACCCAAAATGGTCCTGTTTTACAATCGAGGACACAGAGGGTCAGGGGAGGAAGCAGTTTTCCCCCAGCTGCAGAGCTGATGAAGCTGGGAGCAGGGCCAGCCATGCCCATGGGGATCCTCTTCCTGCTGCCCCCACAGGACAAGAAGGAGTCCTCAGGGCTGGAGGAGGCGTCCCAGGAAGAGAACAGAGCCCACACAAAGGCCTGGGGCTGGGAAGGGCAAGCCAAGACAAAAAGGCCCTTAGCGTTCTGAGAGGGCTTGAGTGGCATTGAGGGCAGGGCCGGGGTGACCGGGGGTGCAAGTATACCAGGCTCATAGAGGTTTAGTCATGCTTGTGAAGCCAGCGAGTGTTTTGGGATAAAGGCAGGAAGCAGAAGCTGATGCAGGACCAGGTGCTGGCACTGGGCTCAGGATCCTACAGAGGGGCATTGTCCATGGGCAGCGGGTGTGGAGGACAATATCCAGAAAGGTTTTACCTCTGTGGTGTGCCCAAGGAACAGCCAGTGTCTCCCCTGGGAAGACTCTTGGCTCCCAGGCCTCTCCCCTTAGGTGTGCAGGCACTTTCCAGCTTATGACACAGTAGGATGGCCAAGTGCTTGCCTTATCCCTGTGAGGATTCCAGGCAGGCCAGAGCACAGGCCCCAGCCATACACTGGATGATCTCCCAGCCCTCACTGCCTTCTCATGCCCTTGCACATGGTGACAGGCCTTACAACCAGGGTTTTCCCACTCTGAACAGACCAGATTCTTGACTGCAGTGGGGCACCAAGGGCGACACCCCAGATCCTACCCAAAGGCATGTGTGACTCCCACCCCAATACTAACCTGGAGACAAGGGCAAGGCGAAGTGGTGTTAAAGATTGAGAGGTTCGGAAATAAGTCCTCCTCACACAGCATGGAACGGTGGAGAACAGACTGGAACTCAGTCAGTGCCCAGGCCCCTCTTTATCTATCAAGCTGTGGCAACATCCCAATGGGCTTAGAAGTAAGATTTGGGCTTGAATTCTGGCTGAGCCAGAATTTCTGACCATGTAAGATTGGGTCCTCCATGGTAATGCCAGGAGGTCATAACTGACCAGTGGGTGTGGCGGCTCCTGCTCCCTCAGAGAGCAAAGTTACTATTGCCACAATTTATCGTTAATATAAGAGTGGCTGTACTGTGAAAGTACATAAGTCCCTCTTCCCCTGTGTGCTGGACTGGACAGCCAACGACGGGTAAGATCAGAAATGATTTCTGACAACCTAAGACAGGCGCAGTCCCCAAGGGGATTTTAATGGTTCCCACCTTTTACCTATGGAAAATAACTGATGGAAAACAAGTCTGGGAAATGTTGAGACACAACCAAGGCATGTTGTTAATCATTAATAGTCTAGGTCTTGTACTGAAGAAATTCAATTATGGTGAGAGAAACTGGTTCTATGACTTCTAGCAAATGTGTAACCAAGCAGAACTATAGGAATAATAAGTAGTACTAGAAAGAATAAAAATATGATGATAAAGATATGACAGAAATGTATAATCATAACAAAAATCATAATATCAAGGGAAGCCTCCACTGGGGGTGTTACGATGAGTTCTTGATTCTTTGATAAATAATAAACAATGTGTTATGTTATTCATGTTTCACTGCATTGACGATTATCTGACGTATGATTAACCACATACCGTGAAAAACATATTGAGGTAATGACTTTGAAAATGTATAAAAAGAGAAGGCTGATTCCAATAAAGCGCACTCAGATTTTCACTCTCCCTTGAGTGTGTCTGTGTGTCATTCTTTCTTGTCCCTCGCCCTAATTCCTTCGACCACCTTTTGCTCGTTCTCACTCAATCCCTGAGACTGTCTCGATCTCCCACCGCCGCTGGGCTGGTCCACGGCAAGTGGGGATGTGGCTCCAGAGACAAGGCTGATGGGAGGCCTGGGGGCACCTGCATCCTTAGGTTCTCATTACTTCCCAAGGGAGTGGCTGTCAGGAGGCAGGGATCCTTGCACAGGCCGCACTGCTGTTCCAGTCCCCTGCCACGGGCCACTTACCCAGCCCAGCCATCACGTTGGCCATACCCTCCATTCTCCAAGCCTCAGGAAGCTGGAGCCCAGCAGCTTCCTCTGGGCAGGGCTGGGTTGACTGGTGCCACAAATATTTACCTTGGAGACCTGAGCCCAAATGCAGAGGTGGCGCCTAGTGAGGGTGAGCAGGATATAAGGCCGGCCTTTTCAGCCCTGAGCCCAGGTGAGGAGAGGTGTGGGCTGAAGACTCCAGCTGGTTCAGGTAAAAGTGCACACAGATTGAATACCTAGGAAGGTTCTGGGGTCAGGTCAGGAGCAGGATGGAGGATGGGTCTGAGTAAGGGTCCTATAGCCACCAGGACCCTCTAGGGGGACGGCAGGGAGGGTAGGGCTGCCTGATGCCCTCACCCAGAGGCCAAGGAGGAGTGACGAAGGGATCTGACTGTCTGAGTCCTTCCCTGATCTCATCCCACTGATGTCACCCACCCTGTGCTCACCCATTGCTGTCTGACCTGCCTGTGCTATGGTGACTCCAAGGACATGATGCCAGGCATTCTTGGTCCTCCAGGATCACCTAGTATGGACCCATGTGGGACATACTTTGTGCAAAGAAAGCCCAGGGCCATGGTGCTGGAGGGCTTCCTGTAGGAGGTGACGTGCGTGTTGAGAAGCTAAATACAAGTTGACTGGACAAAGGAAGAGAGACAGTCCTTCAGGGCAAAGGGAAGAGCATAAGCAAATGACAAGGGTGAGAAACAGTGCAGTGGATGTGAGCACAGCCTGGTTTGGGGGAAGAGCCACTTGTCCCCAGGAAGGGATGCTCCCATCCGCTTGGTCCTGAGTGCCTCTGTTCACTGAGGCAGCATGGTGTGCATGACAAAGGAGGCAAACAGGGCCAAGGTGCTTTGAAAGATTATAGCAAGGGGTTATGTACATGTTGGGCACAGGTGGCACAGGACACAGACCCAAATGTTGGGCTCCGGAGCCCACTCTCACCCACTCCACTAAGCAGCTTTCCAGGATGCCTGCCCCGAGTCTCCAGGCTTGCTGGGCCTGTCCTCAGTCTCTCTGCCTGGTTGACGGGGTCCTCTGTGCTCACCGCAGGTTCTGGCACCCACCACCTACTGCTCGCTGACCTCCAGGAAGATGACCAGCCCGTGGACCCTCACCCTCCTTTCTGCCTTGCTGGCAGCCACCTTGGTTGGAGCCACCCTCAACCCTCCGGCAGTTCTCAGCCTCAGCTCTGACGTCATCAAAGAAAGTAAGCCCTGGCCCAGAGGTCTCAGCACCAGGAGGCCAGGCAGTGGGGGAAACGGTCCTCCAAAGGAGACCAGGACCTCCCTCAACTGGGGGTGTGCTAGGCACACTGGACTCCCGGGCTAAGGCAAGACCTGAGCGGATAAGCCATAAAGATTAGGGGTGTCTGTGCTCTCCATGGTCTGTGATGGCATAAGCCTGCCACGCTGAGGCACCTTGGCTCTAACTCAGATCAAAACAATGGCTCTTGCCTCCCTTCTCTGCTCAACACCTGAGGCTCTTTGGACAAGGGGCCCGTGGGATGGTGAGTCCAGAGAATGTTAACAAGTGTTTTTGTAGCAACAGAGCCCCAAAAGGGGCCTGGTAGACAACCCGCCTCTGAAATCTATTACTGTTTGCTTCTCTAGAAGCTGCTCGAGGTACAGCTCCATGTGCCAGGTGGTGTGGACAGCATTCCCAACAGAGGCTGACAAAGCTCCGGTGAATGGTCCCACCTAAGCCCCAACCTCAGTCTTTATGTCAAATGGCCCATCCTAGCCATTGTCCCAAGGACACATTGACAACAAAGACAGTCAGTATGGAGCTGTCCTTCCTCTCACCTTAGTCCAGGTCCTGCAGCCCTGAGATGCCATACAACCTGCCTGGAGCCCCAGGCCAAGCATCCACTTTCCCTCTTGCTGGTCACTAATCCTGGATCTGCCTCCAGGGCTGGCACAGCAGCTGAGGGATCACAACGCTGTCGACATTCTCCATCAGCTGCCACTGCTCAGCGCCATGCAGGATGAGCCAGCCGGGGGCATCCCCATATTTGGCAGCCTGATCAGCTCTGTCCTGAAGTATATCGTCTGGTAGGTGGAGCAGAACCAGGTTGGGAGGTGACTCAGACACACCTCTGCCCATATCAGGTTTAATTGATCGGTCAAGAGCATCAGTTGGGATTGACGCTGCACCTGACCGTGATGAATGGGTCAAACCCAGTCCCTCCCTCAGAGCTCCCAGAGGAGTTAGCAATGGCCAGAAGGAACATCACAGCAACCCCAGAGGAAGGTCACCTGGGGTAGGAGAGCAAAGGGATAAGGTGATACCTCTCATGGAGGTGACAGGTGAGCCAATGCCTCTGTGCTCACCGAGCGACAAGAGGAAATGGCCCTGCAGGCACAGGGTCCTGTCTGGACAACGGCACAGAGGAGGGACACTTAGCGGGACTGGCACTCAGCCCAAGGCCAGGAGTGGGAGATCAGTGGGGTCAGGCCACAGAGGGTCCTACAAGTCCCCCAGGGAGCCGGGGTTCATGTCCTAAGGAGAGCGGTGTGAGCAGGGGTGGAGGGGAAGAGAAGAACAATAACATACAGGGAGGAGTCAGGCAGTCATGAGGGTCCAGCTGCTGCCTGGCCCCAGAAAAGCAGCAACAATGAATGTTTAAAATGAATCTGAGTTGATCCTGAGGCATGAATCTTATCTCTGCCGCTTCCCATCCAGGATGAAAGTCACTTCGGCTAATATCCTCCAGCTGCAGGTGCAACCCTCCGCTTACAGCCAGGAGTTAGTGGTCAAGATCCCCCTGGACATGGTAGCCGGCTTCAACACGTAAGCGTCCCCTCAGTCAAGCTCAGTGAGCCCTGATGGATTCCTCCACCTGTTCCCCTCCTTCCATGCTGACATACGGGAAAGGGAATCCCAGCAGAGGGACAAGCCAACGCAAAGGTCCTGAGCTGAGAGTGCCCCTGCCTTGTTCAAAGCATAACAAAGAAAGGGAGCATGGGGGAGTGGTGGCAGGCCAGGCCAGCAGGCAGCCAGGGCAGGTCACACAGGGCCGTGGGTCAAGGCGAGCACACCACCGAATGAGATGGGAGCCAAGGAGGGTTCTCGGCAGAGGAGGGTCATGACATGGTTGAATGTTTTTCACAAATCCCTCTGGCTTGTGCCTGGGGCAGGAGTGGGGGCCGGGAGGCCATCCAGAAGGAGGAGATAATGAAAGCTTGGGCCAGGGTGGTGGGCAGAAGGTGGGAGAAGTGGCTGGATTCCGGATGTGCCCTGGAGGCAAGTCCAGTCAAGAGGGTTTCCTGAACAATAGAACAAGGTGGGGGGTGGGAGCAAGAGAGGAGGCAAGCAGTCTGAGGAACGAAGGCTGATGTGCAAGGGCAGGAGGGAGTGGACAGAAGGAAGGTGGGGAAGGTGACGAGAAGAGCAGGTTGGGGAAACAACCAGAGGTCAGTTTGTATTTGAGACGCCGTGAGGCATTTGAGTAAGGAGTTAGGTTTCGGTTTGACAGCTGACAGCACGTCAACTAGGAGGGGAGAGGAGCCCACAAACTGAGGCTGGGACACTTTAGGGTAAAAATTGGGGAAGATGAGAACCCAGCGTGGACACCAAAAGGGAGGGACGAGTCAGACGCACAGGTGGACATAGGGCTGCTCCGGCCTGGGCTGGCGGAGCTCACAGCACCTCCCCTCCCAGGCCGCTGGTCAAGACCATGGTGGAGATGCACATGGAGTCAGAGGTTGAGGCCACCATCCGAGTGGAGACCAGGGACAGGGTCTACACCAGCCTTGTCCTCAGCGACTGCTCCAATAGCCGCGGGAGCCTGCGCATCAGCCTGCTGCGCAAGTGAGTGACCACTTCCCGTGGGCCCCCCTGTGCCTGGGAGGAAAGCCAGGCCGCCATGCCCACTTTACACGCAGAGAGCACTGAGGCCAGAGAAAGAAGGGGATTTATCTCTCCTGACTCTTGATCTGGGGCTCCTTCCAGGGAACCTGTGATGCCAAAGTGAGCTCAAGGCACCAAGGGCAGCAGCAATAATGGTGGTGATGGGGGATAAAAAGAGGAAAGTTGAAAAGGAGGCATCACAAGACCAGAAGCTGGCTCACCCAAGGCCAGAAGCTGGAGATAGGGGTGAAACTAATTAACATAGTCATTAAACAAGCTGTATAGAAAAGTAAACAACCCCGAAGTAAATTGTCCTCCTTAACAGTCTTCTTGGATTCATCATCATTTTGGCCTGTTTAACTTTTTCTCTAGTAGATCACTAAGATTTCTTCTAACTAGACAATAATGTTTCCAAGGTTTTAGCTTCAAATAGAAATGTTCATAATAAGGCGAGTCCTGCTTCAGAAGCAGACCGTCGCCCTGCCTGAGATACGGGTACTGATAAGTCGCCGCGGTTCCGTCCACAGAGGGATTTCAGACATCATGCCACGAGGTTGGGCAAACATTTGAAGATGGAGAGGAGCCTCCCTCCCAGGACCCCTCCACCTCTCCAGGCAGGCTCGGGTAGAGCTTGGTTTCGAAAATGGTTGGGAGTCAGGAAAGCCAGGAAACCCAATCCTTCACTGTCTGGCCAGGTGACACTGGACAAGTCACCTTCCAGTCTCGCCTTCCAGGCCTTGGTGGCAAAATTAAATCAGACGGAGGCCAGAGCAGTAGGCAGGGGGCAAGGCACTCAGCAGCCGCTGCAAAACATGGTGCTTTCCTCCACTTCTCCTTAGCAGGACAGCAGAGAGAAACCCCAAGTGCCCACACCAGTGTCTAGCACAAATTCTAAAGACAAGAACTCTCTGCTACTCTCTACACCCACCTGGCTCAGCCCCATCTTTCTTAGGCTGTATGACCGTCAGCAAAATCCCCCCTCCCCTGGACTCGGTAAGGCAGGTGACAGGTGAGCATCTCTAACCCTTCCTAATATGACACCTTCTCCTCTCTGGTAGACTCTCTTTCCTGGTCAACTCCTTAGCAGAAAAGGTTACGAACCTTCTGATGCCAGCTCTGCCCAAATTGGTTAAAAGCCAGGTGAGTGGATTCAGGGCCTTTCTGCCTTGCAAACATTGCCCCCCTGTAGGGTAGAGGTGGAACTGCAAGCTGGTGTTAAAGGTCTTGTGTCTCCTTGAGTGAGAACCCCTGGCCCTTGGTCGTTCCTTCAGTAAGGGATCCTGAGGTCAAGGTGATGAAAGTGCCGTTACTTTGAATGGCACTTTCAAGATCTTGAACACTGATGTGCTCAGAATCTGAGGTCCCTTTCAGTGTAAATATGTGGGTCCCAACCCCAACTGCACATCAGAACCTCCTGGAAGGACTTTAAAAAAACTAATAGTAAGGTTTCACCCAAGGGTGCTTATGTAATTGACCTGGGTGGGGCCCTTTTAGCCCAGAGGAATGTATCCTTCCCCTACCCCCACCAGGAGTCTTAAATGTGGGGGAGACCTAGTGCTGGAAGCAGAAAACAGGTTTGGTTTGGTTTGGTTTTTAGAAAGTTAACGTTTCTCAAAGTGCATTGTCTTTTCTCAAGAGTAGCAAAGAGTGTGGAGCAGAAATTTCTTCTCTTAGGAAATTGCACCTGAGACAAAATGGTAACATTTCAATATATTGCCCTAGAAAAGGGGCTGCCTAGAGTAGAAAACAGGGCTTTTTGGGCCCCAGGGACAAGTGGGTCAAATGTTTAACTTCTTCCTCAAACATTCCAATTGAGACCAGGGTTTCCCCATTATTGAAATTTGGGCCATGTAATTCTCTGTTATGGGGCTGTCCTATGCTTTTCATAACTTGGAGGGTGTGCCTCTATGTATGCGTGTAACAGCCTCTTCACCTCTTCCCACCCTAAGCCTCTATACTTCCTTCCAGTTACACACATAACACACACATACCCTTCCAAGTTGTAAAAACTGAAAATGTCTCTAGAAATTTCCAAATGTCCCCTGGGGATCAGAATCACCCCCTACAGAGAACTTTCAGCAATTTGTGGGGTGAGAATGGTTCAGTGGCCAAAGGGATATGTTGAGGCTAGAGGTCCACAGAGACTGTTCTCGAGTTTGCGGATCTGTCTTGCTGGCCTCTGTTCTCAAGTCTGCTTGGGGAGTTGCTCAGTGATGACTTGTTGAATGAATAAGTGAACAAAGGCATTAATTCTCTATTTCCTTTGAATGGAAGACATGGGTTCTTGTGAACAAGACCAGGAGGAAGCAGCTGGCAGGCCAGGAACACCCTGGGCACAGGGCAAGGGACAAACTATAGCAAAAAAACCTCGGGGAACACCAAGGCTGGGGTGAGCTCTGAGCACCTGTGATGACTGGGGCTGTGGGTGCACCTGAGTCCTCAGCCCCATGGCAGAAAGTCTGGCTGGGATGAGCACAGCACAGGACCTGGGATAGGTAGACTGGGCATTGGTCACAGGGGGCTGTGTCCTGCCCTGGCTGATGGAGACTCTACATTTGTGCTATTGCAGCTGTGTCCTGTGATCAAGGAAGCCTTTGAGGACATGTGTGCCCATCTGCTGGGCCTGGTGAAGGGTAGGTGCACTGCTTTCACTTCCTATAAATCTGAGCCACCCTCCAGGACAGGTCTCAATCCTGAGAAACCAGCAGCAAGCAGGACAAGCATCAGTTGATAGCCACCCAGGATAAGCAAACAGGAATTCATCATGACTGTGACTTCTTGACCACCTACTATGTGCAAACCTCTATGTGAGCCCCAGATAAGCCCAATTTCAAATTCCAATTCTGCCACTGACCTAGTCTACACTTTTGAGAAGGCCAACTCCACCTTCTTATCCTCAGATTCCCCATCTGTAAAGGGGGGCTTATACATCCCTAATTCACAAGATTGTTGGTGAGAATAAGAGTTTCCAGAAAAGTTCAGAGTACAGAGAAGTGCTTTCAAATGTGTGCTGGGTGGATGGATGGATGGATGGATGGATGGATGGATGGATGATACTGTGACTACTATGGGCTATTAAAAAAGGGAAAACAAGGGAGTAAGCTGTATGCCCACACACACCCCTCAGAGTAGAGATGGGTGAGAAGAAGTGAACTCTACCACCTAGTCTTTTGGGCTGTGAAGAGGTTCATTCAAGGGCTGCCAGAGAGTAGTGGGAAGAGGGAATGGTAAGGATAGGCATGGAGCAGCCATGGCGCACCTGCTCTGGGCCAAGCCCAGAGCTGGGTGTTTTGTATACATTGTCTCCCTGATCCTCAGACAGCTGCATTTGGGGCAATCATTACCCCACTTCACAGAGTAAGAAACTGAAGCTTAGAGAAATTAAGTCATTTGTCCAACAATAGGAGAAGGCATAAACCCACTTCTTTGAATTCTAGAATTGGTGTGATTCAGATTTGAGTCAACATTTCCAGGTTTCATCTAGAACAATCTGTAAACCTAGGAGGCAGGTGTCACATTGTAACACTGCATTTTAAGTTGAAGACACTGAGGGTCAGAGGTGGGAAGAGATTAGCCCTGGCTACTGCAACTCAAACCCAAGTCTAACAGGCCTATCTGCTTCCCAGGGGCCTAGTGGAAGGTGCCCCTGGGGGAGGGGGTTTAGACTGGTGAGAGAACCACTCCCTGCTCGGCCCCTGAGCCTCTTAGTCATTCTCTATGTTCTCTGCCTTGGGCAGATGAGATACATTGCCATCTGGTGGTCAAGTGAGGAATCCAGAGGCTCACAGATCTAGTGGACAGACCCAGAGCCTGCAGGGTGGAGGTCAACCATCACACTCTGCTTGGGGAGGGGGAAAGGTATAGGCTATAATTCAGTTTTGTTTCAAACCAAGAATTTGCCATAGGTCGACTATGATGCAAATTCTCTCATGGTATGACCTCGAGCAAGTCATTTCACTCTTCTGAGCCTCAGTTTCCCCATCTGTAAAATGAGGGTATTAATGGGACCATACTCCCTAAATTATTTTGAGAATTAAATGCCCTAGCACATGTAAAGGTTAGCACAGTACTTGGGACTTGATCTGTGCTCAGTAATTGCCAGTTATTATCACCATCACCTCCATCGTTGTCATTATCACTATCATCTTTACTTAATTCTCTCCCCACACAATAATGCAACTCCAATCAAAGGCAGCTCCCAAGCCATCCCATGCAATACTGCCATCCAACCTTACAGAACTTTCTTCTTGTCCCTGAGCAGCACCTGTTTCCCTTGAGTCTGACCACTTAGAGTTTGACGTTCTGTCTCCTGCCATCAATGGTAACCGTGTCCAGCTCAACCTGCAGGTGAGTGTCATGGTGCCTGGAGAGCGAAGTGCAGACGTTCCTGTCCTTCTCTGACCAAAAAGGCTCAGATTCCATGGGCCTGTTTCAGGGAAGAAAACACCAGAACAAGGGGCAATTTAGGGCCATTTCAACAGGCTGCCTGTCTCCTGTAAACCATTGAGACAGAGAAAGAACACAAGTGGAATCTAAAGGCCACTCACAGAACACTGACCCTGGTGACTCTGATTTCCCCAGTCTGGGGTTGGAGTGTGCACACTGGGGCTCTTATGCTTTCTCTCAAGCAAGCCCCTGCCAGGCCCCAAGTATCTGATTACCTTGAAACAGAAACCCAGAATTAAGACACATCATTAAGGATCACACAGACCTAAGATTCTCTTCCAGCTCCACAACTTCACCTTTCTGAGCCTCAACTTCCTCTTCTGTAAAATGTTGTCTATAAAAGTTACCAAGGAAAAGATGAAATGAGACTGCATGGGGCCTGACAGGCAGGAAGAGCCCAGTAACTGTCTGTTCTCTGTAAACTGTGGCACTGCACCCTTAAACTGGCGTTGGACTTCCCAAGGAGCCAGGCAAACCTAGAATCACTTTGAAAACTGCAGTATTCAACATTTCCATCCATTTTGTTGTAGTTTTTCATTTTCCCTTTACCAAAAGGGTTTGTGAGGTAGCTGAGACATTGAAAGACATTGAAGACTTCTAGGTTTTGGGAAAAAAATAGAGATTATCTGAGGTGAGTAGGTGGAGTATCAGTTGCTAGGTACCTGAGGTAACTTTTCACCTATAGCAAGACAGTGAACTCCAGGTTAAGCTTCCTGGCAGCAAATGCAAAAAGGGAAACAAGCTGAATGGTGTCATTACCATATGGATTGTTATTGGGTAGGCTGTAGAGTTAGAGTTCCCAGATGACTCTATCCTCTGTGTCTCCTTAGGCCAAGTTGTTGGACTCTCAGGGGAAAGTGACCAAACAGTTCAATGAGTCTGCGCTTTCACTGACAATGCCTACCTTGGACAACACCCCTTTCAGCCTCACTGTGAGGCAAGATGTGGTGAATGCTGCAGTAGCTGCCATATTTCCTCCAGAAAAACTCATGGTCCTGTTAGACTATGTGGTAAGCCTCAGCCTGGGACAAAAAGTGGTGCCCCCTCTCTGCATCATGGGAATTTTCTGAATCAAATGGGACACAAGGACTCCTAAAGCCCCAAGCATGAATCCTTTGTCAGTCTCCACCATGGAGAGTTCACGCTCTCTCCTAAAATATATCTCTAAAGAAGAAAATTCCCCATAACACTCAGGCCCCTTTGGAACCTGTCAAATGGGCTTCCTCTACCAAAAAAACAGTCCTGTCAAAGGGCACCAGGTAATGAATGGTCTGGGGATGACAACTGTGCCACTGTTCTCCATTACTGGGCCCTTGGCAGATATCACTAATCAATCAAGGCCCTCTTCCCTATTGAACCTAGATGTCAATACAGCTTTGAAATTCTTCTCGACTCACCACAGCAGGAAACAACCTCCAGTCAACTAGAGTGTGCCACCTCCTTCATGCTAGCTGATGGGGAAACTGTGCCTATAATTTTGGCACAAAGTTATAGGAGAGTGTCAGGACTTCAGACTGAGAGCGAGCTCTTGAGGACTAGAACTTTGGATAAGGGCTGGGTTGGTGAGGAAATGGGAATGATGGCCAGCAACCACATTCACGACTATTGTAAGAATCAGATCACTTCTCTGTGTCTTCTGGGAGCAGGGAGCTAGCTGCCTGCAGACCCACCAGCAACAATAACCCTCAATAAAAGTCTAGGCCAGCAGGGACTCCAGACCCCATATGCCCCACAGGAACTGACTAAATAAAGTTGCCTTTGTTCTACCAGTGAAAGATGTGGCCTGGACCACTGAGCCCACTCAGGTTTTCCAGGGTTCTGGGGATCACAGTACTAAGGCTGCTGGAGGCATATCTCCCCTCTCCCCACCCAATGACCTGCTCTGGCTTCCTCTCACTCTCAGCTTCCTGAGTTGGCTCGCCGGCTGAAGTCAGACATCAAGGTGATCAGTGTAAAGGTGGGTCCATTTGCCATTTGCAGCTTGATGGGTGGCTGCTGTGGTCTGGCCTCTGGAGAACAACATGCATGTGGGACCACTTTCCTGCCTTCCTACACTGGTGACTTCTACAGGCCAGGCCAAAGATTTCAGTAAAATAGGACAGTTTAACCATAATTACACAAATAATACTTCAGCTGCAAAGGACAGGGGTTACAGAGCAACTGGCATAGTCCAGATTACGGAGGTCTCCCCTGGAGGGAAGAGCTTTCCAGACAGAGTGAGAAGCGAAACTGGAGTCTGTGAGATGGAAACTGATGGTTTAGTCCAGGGTGAGAAGGGGATAATGCGACTAGATACAGCGAGGATGCAGGGAGGTCAGGGGGGCAGGCAGGGGTCGGGCCACATGGGGCCCGTGGGGATGATGGGCCCCAGTGAGGTATTTGCAAGGTCATAGGAGGGTCCCATATCCTTCCAGGCTGCGAATCAGCTGGAGCACACACAGATCGTGAAGGTCTTAACTCAGGCAGCCCCAGAGCTCTTTCTGGACCAGGGCAGGGCCAAGGTGGCCCAACTGATCGTGCTGGAAGTGTTCCCCACCAACGAAGCCCACCGCCCACTCTTCACCCTGGGCATCGTAAGTTCAATTGCCTGTGACTCTGGCAGCCATCTGGGAGGCTTTTCTGTTCCATTCACTGCTCCTACTCACCCCTCTTGCTTTGCTAAATGTTTCTACCTTCTTGCCACCCAGCGGAGCCGGGGGGAGACTAAACCAAGAGTCAGGAGTTTGGGGGGCCATGTTCTGACCGGTGACCTTATCAATTCTTTGGGTCTTTTTACCCTTTTGCCAGTTAATCATGATCACAAGAGTGCTGGGGGAAAGCAAGGGCAATGCGCCAGAGAAGGGGCCAGTGGGAACTCAGCGCTCAGCTGTGGGTGGATTCCCCACCCTGTAGAGGGGATGTGAGTGGGGAGCTGACCACCTCCCCTGCAGAGGACAAAGAAAGGAGAGTGGCCAGCAGGATCCTGCTTGGAAACTGGGACTCTGCCTAACCAAGAAGGTCCACAGTGCATGGTTGTTAGTAGAGGGTAATCTTGACCCTATCCTCATAGTAGGCCACTGTGTACAGCTGTGCAGGTTGTCCACACACATTTCAGTGGGTACCATTCAGAAAGACCATGGGGGGCAATGTAGCTGGGCTTCCTGTATGAAGAATGTTCTGATGCCCTGACCTTTACTGGGAATGGCCTGCCCGGTCAGCTCACTCCCTGCTAACCTGGTCCCTCCATGGTCAGTGGCAGGGACTTCACAAAACACCCCAACCCAGGCCTGCAGGATAATTTCTTCTCTGGGTAGGCTGACCTGGAGCTGGAGCCTGGTACTGTCCTCAGCCCAGACTAGTCCACAGGTCAAGGTGATGTGAGACCTGACTTGCTTCTGATAATAATAATGGTTAACAGCAGGGGCTTATGATCTTTGTCCCTGAGAAACCACACCTCTATAGTAGGGAATAACAGGAGGCACTCTTCATAGCCTCAAAGGAGGGAGTCATCATGTACTTAAACACTGCCTGGCACAAAATGATGGCTCTGTGCACACTGGTGCTGTTGCTGTCACTCCCCACAGCAGTCTCGTGTGGCAATGTGTCCAGCAGGGAGTGGGTCTAGGCTCCACCTCATTTGATAGAGGAGTTCAGTGAGATCTGGAGAGGTCAAATCCTTTCCTAAGGTCACAGAGCCAGTAGTTAAGATACAGACTATGTCAGCTTGATCTAGAGCCTCCTTACTCAACCCCACTCTCCACTTGGCTGCACCCTTTAAAAGACATAGGGCCTGGGCTTCTCTTGTTTCAGGAAGCCAGCTCAGAAGCTCAGTTTTTCATGGAAGGTGATCAACTGATGCTCAACTTGAATGATATCAGGTAAGCATGTAAATCATGGCGAGGATTCTGGTAAAGAGTCGTGCCTGGTGACTTAGGGGTTCTTGAGATTCCTGGTGTTTTGAGTCTGTGGGGCATGAGCATGAAATGAAGGCAGCCTTGCCGGGTCTGTTCTGTCAAGGTCTAGGGGTGAGCCAAAGAGGACAGGGAATCATCTTGCAGCAACCAGGGAGCAGGTGACCTGACACTTTCCCCTTGGCCTTGGCGAGGCCCTCTGGACACCTCCAAGACAGCAGCGGCAATAGTCATCCAAATGCTAAGGTCACATAGAGCCCACCCCAGCAGCCCCCAGCTCCAGCTGCCCACTGCTCCTGTGGTCCCCCACATCACACCCCCGGCTGCTGCTGTGGGGAGAGGCCAGAAAGTGGAGCCTTCTGGGGCAAATCAAGTCCAGAGATTTGTTTGAATCAGCCTTTAGGGTTAGGTTTTTTATTAACATAAATTTGTTGCCAGTATATAAAAATCAGAATGGCTGGTTTTCATGGCCCTATCTGTCCCCACATGGCAACAAACTGTCTTGCTATGATTCGGGTACCTCTTTAAAAGGAGACTGAGCTCCTAGGTTCACCACGATTCCAGTCCTAGGGGTGATTTTTCTGCTCTCTAGGCAACTATGTGTTTTCTATCTCTCCCTCCTCAAACACACACACACACACACACACACACACACAGAGGCCCATTATAATGTAAGCTTCACAAAGCAAAGATTTTATTTGGTTCACTGATCTATAGATAGAGCCTGCCCTGTACCTGGTACATAGTAGGTGTTCAATAATGGTTGTTGAATGAATGAATGATACTCCAAGGGGCCATTCTCATGTGCATCTTCTGTTGCAGCTCTGATCGGATCCACCTGATGAACTCTGGCATTGGCCTGTTCAACGTGAGTACTGATAGGTGTTCCTGGAGGTGCCGCATTGGTGCCTCTCAAAAGGAGACATTGTCTAGGATTCACCTTGAACAGGGTTCTCATGGGCAGCCCTCTGCTGGGCTGGCTGGTTTCCATGTTATCCATGAAGTCCAACCTACTGGTTCAAGCATTTACTAAGCACCTACTGTGTGCTGGACACAGTTGCAAATATATAGATAAACACTCACTTTCCTTCTGTGATGATTTGACCCAAAATTAGAAAACAAAACTCTCTTTGCAATCTGATTTTGCTTACATAGATTCATCTCAATGACCCTGAGCAGCCCTCCCTCTGGTCCTCAGTTCCTCATCTGAATCATACTGAGTCAGAGATCTCACAGGGGCTGAATCCTGTCTTCTGATGTGGTGTTTATTTGTTTGGATTTGGTCCTTCTGTTTTGTTTGGTTAAATTTTTTGTTGAGTAATATTTTTAAATGGGGAGGTTTCCACATCTAAGTCAGGATTTCTAGCTTCCCTCGAGAAGGTAGAAACAACAAACACAGGGTTCAATATTCTCTTAGGGGAAATTCTGCTGAAACAGAGCAGTGGAGCCCTTAAGGGTGGGGTGGGGAGCAGGGGATGCACCCCTCCAGTTCACCCAACCCCCCACGTACTGGGACATGGGGCCAGGTGAGATGGGCTTTCTCTAGCCTGCCTGGTCCCGGAGGCCTCGCAGATCTAAGCTGTAGGACACCTGGGATTCCAGCATTTCTGCCTCTGCCCTCATCTGAGGTTCGGCTGTGCCCACTCAAGGAGTAGCTGGGAGGACTCCAGTGTCTCCACCAGGGTGACAGCGCCCCTTCTCTCTCACAGCCTGAACTTCTGAAAGACATCATCACTGAGATCCTCGTCTCTGTCCTGCTGCCAAATGAGAATGGTGAGTCCCTTTACTAACCTCCCCATCCCTAGGGCAGGAGGTTGGGGGCCTCACCTTCCTGCCCGGTCTCCCTTTGGGGCCACACCCACTCTTTTTCCACATATCAATCCTAGTTCAAAAACCACTTGGCCACCCAGGCAGCTATGAGCTCCATGTCCAACTTCCAGGCCGGGTCTTTTGCTAATGCCAGAGCCCAGATGTGAACAGAGGAACCGGGCAAGGCTCCAGCCTCACAGGCTAAAAGCAGGAGAGAGACAGGGGTACAAACACACACACAGCCGCTCAGAGTGCCACAGGGCCCGGCTCTCCTCCTGGCAGCTGCCTGGCCTCGGCCAAGCTGCTCTATCACCCTGGGCCACAGATTCTCCATCAGCGGAATGGAGAAGAGTAGCTTCATCAGAGGCACGGAGGAGGTGAATTGTAGGGGGCAGAAAGAGTGCCCTAGCACAGTCACTGCTTCCATTTCTTCACTGCTCGTTCGCATGGCCATTTGTGTTACTAGTGGAGGAAGCAACGAGAAAGGGTGGAATTACTCTGATTAACCCCAGGTGTGGGGGTCAAGAAATCAGTAATCTGTGCTAACATCAACTTTTTTATTTTACTCAAATGAGAATCTCAAATCATACATGCTTCTGCTGTGGATAATGGGAGCCTCTGATAGTTCTTGAGAAAGAGTTTGGGAGGATGTGTGGGGTCCCCTTTGGGAGGAGCCTAAAACCAGCACTAGAGGTCAAGGGAGTGGAGTGAGGCTGGGTCTGTGCTGAGACTGGAGACCAGGTGGACAGAGATGAGATGGACAGTCCAAACCAGGCCTGTCAAGTCCTGGGGTCTGCTCTGGGAACTGAGAGCCTGCCCACAATTGCCCAGCCCCACCCAGCCCTGCCACCTCTAACAACATTTGCATTTCAGGCAAATTAAGAGCTGGGATCCAGGTGTCAATGGCGAAAGCCTTGGAATTTGAGGCAGCATCTTCCTCCCTGACCAAGGTGAGTGGGCTGAGCACCCAGCCCCAGTGGGGCACAGTCTCTGGGGGGACCCTGGGCTGGGGGCTACACTCCAATCCTGGTCCCTCTGTTAGCTCAGGGGCACTCTGGAAAAAAATCCCTTCTCTCACAGCCTCAATCCCTCACCTGTAAACATGGGTGTGTGATTGGCCCAGCCTAGGGTCAAAGGCCTCCAGCCTTGTCCACCCTACCTGGCACACCACAGTAGTCAACAAATGTTTGTTCAGAAAAATGAGTCTCCTTGGCAACTGCTGAGGAGGGGAGCTGTAGCTGCAAGTACCCCCAAGTATAAGCATTAATTATACTAAATCACTCATCATCATTTAACAGCTCATAGTCATTTTGTGCCAGGCGCTGGGGTATGAGCAGCATCTTTCTGTCTTCACACCACCCTATGTGGTAGATCACGCTATAATCCACATTTTGCAGATGGGCAAACTGAGACTCAAAAACAGCATGTCAGTTTCTAAGGTCACATACCTAATGGGTAACAGAACGGAGACTTGTTCTCAGCACCTGCTCTGGTAATGTCCATGGGTTCCCAAGTCAACCCACTAGCAGCCATTTACTGAGCACCTACTCTGGGCTGGGCACTGAGCACAACTGCAAAAAAACACACAGCAAGCCCTGCCCTCTGCAGTGTCTAGTCCAGTGTCTGTGGAGTGGGAGTGGCTGAAAGCAGAATGGTTAACAAGAATATCTACAGGTGCCTGTTTACCCTTCCACGGCCAAGGTGCGCACCCAAGACCAAGGAGACACTTCTTACCCAGAAATTCTAGTTTGTCCTGATTTGCCCAAAGCTGTGCACTAGTTCCTCTAAAGTGGGAGCTACATAGTTGTGGAGAGATCACCAGAAGGGAGGGAGTCTCAAAAATGCTCCCCATTGGGGTTGCATTTTGGGAAAGGGAAGAGGCGTTGTTAACTTCTGCAAAGGCAAGACTGATGTTTATCATCAGCTGCCCACTCTCAAAAGCCATGTCTACCCACAGCTGTTTTGGGGCGGGGGAGAAGAGCGTCAACAGTACCGTGGATGGTACAGAGAGGCTGAAAGTGTAGGCTCAGGCACTGGGAACGGTTTAAATCTGCCTCTAGCCAAGGGACCTCAGGCAGGCCCTTGGGTCTCTCTGAGCCCAGCTTCCTCATCCTTAAAACCCAGAAGACCTGAATACGCAAGCACATGGATGACAATGACCTGATCGCAGTAGGAGTGGTTGATCTAAGACACACCGCCCTTGAGTCACATTGGATGCACAACTGGTATTCATGCAGCTGATGGCTGGAGTTTGACTTATTTCATGCAATGCTTTTTTTTAAAAAAAAGATTTATTTTTATTTACTTATGCTTACAAGAACTGGGGTATAGGCCAGAGGTGCCAGGGTGGAAGGGGGTAAGAGGATTCACCAGAGACAGAGTAGGGAGCAGAAGAGACAGATCTACTGAAATACACTGCTGAGGGGAAGACAGGAGAAGCAGGCAAGACAGGAGAGGTCTGCTGCACCTACTGCATGTAACTCTTATTAGAGGAGATTTAGCCACTGTTTTTGTTGGGTTTTTTGTTGTTTTTTAAACTACTTGCATCACATAACCAACCACTGCAAGTTGGATGGGAGAGATCATTTCATCCTTTGGATCTATTTCCAAATTTCCTGTTTCATTCTATTCATTTGTTTTAGATGAACAGCATATCAGCTTCCTTTTTTATAGTTTTACAATATGCTTTAAAGTGCAATCAAAAATAAATAAATAGATATGAAACAGAAGGTTTGGTTTTTTAAAAGCTAATGGTAGAATCTAGGCCACGGGTATATGTGTCATTGAAAAATTCTTTTTACCTTTCTGTCTATTTGAAAATTATCATGATAAAATATTGGGGCTAATCTAACAGGTGAAGTATTCATATTATACTTAGACTTGAAAACAGTATCAGTATTGGTAAAAATTTAACAGCCTGGGCCCTGATGGATACAGCCTGGAAACTCCATTTTATGAAATTGGGGAGCTTTGCTGATTGGCTGGGCTTGGGCCCACTGTCCCACACACTCACCCACAGACCTTACAGGTGCCCTGGACCCCTACATGGTGTCATTGTTCACACAGAGACCCTCCCAAGAGTTCTGTATGAGTGAGTTCAAGGTCATAGCCCCCAATGCCAGCGGTCACCTTGGGGAGACCCACATAAACCACAATAAGGGATGAAGTGAAAAGCAAAACAAAGCAGTATGACTTCTCCTCCCGTTCCAGGATGCCCTTGTGATCACCTCGGCCTAGTTGTAGAGCCCCGGACTGCTGTCCTCTCCCAGTGAGGAATGGAGGCGACCGTCCAGGACAGGCTGGCTCCTAGTGAGATGTGTGAATCAGCCTGTATACCCTCTCTCTCTGCAATAAAATCACTTTCTGTGACTTCTGCCGTCTCTGGAGTGTATCTGTGTCCCAACCCAGAAGTCATTTGGCCCCTGGCAGCCTTAGGGGTGGACAGCCAAGCCATCTGGGTCATGTCCCAGCCATGTCTGGGCCACATCAGACCACAGGTGGACAAGATCCAAGGACTGGGCCACATCCCTGGGCTGCAGGAATAAGAATGCCACTTGCCCCTCCTGCCTTCCATGTCAGCCTCAAGACCACCTAGGGTAGGCGGTCTCCTTGGTGGAGGCACACTTTCTCCGCATCCTGGTGGTGTGGTGGGTCCAAGCCTCTCTGAGGAGTGTGACTCTGGGGATGACTGTGAATTCTGGCCTGAGATGGGATGACTGTGAAATGTGGCTTCCCCTCTGTGGGCCTCAGTTTCCTTCTCTACATTGAAGAAAATCCTCCTTGGAGGTCTGTGGTGAGGATGAAATGAGAGAGATTGTTCCTGGCACTTGGAAGGGGCTTAGACAATGACATCTTGGGCAATGTCCCCATCACTATTGTTCTCTGGCCTCCAGGATATTGGCCCTTATCATTGAATTCCTTCCTGCTTGGACATCACATGACTGCTGCTGTCTCCCTGGCCTCACTGAAGTCGCCTGGATCAGGACAGACAATAGAGTCCCTGTTCTCCAGACCCTGGGCCTGGTCCAGCACACAGAGCCCTTCATTCATGTGAGGGGCCTTGGAGGAAGGGATGGGTGTGCATTTTGGGAAAAGGTATTTTCTAACTTCAGCATAAACTGGCTTAAGAGGGGCTCACAGCCTGAATAGACTGTCCAGAATGAGCTTCCCCCATCTAGAAGGTTCCATCCATGGGTTCCATCAAGGAGACAAGGAGGGGCCAGGACATGACCTTGCACTTGGTGCTTACACCCTGGTAGTGAACACATGTGATGGCATCTTACACCTCTCTGTGTCCTTCCCAGGGTCTCCCTTTTATGGAGATGACCCCAGGAACCTTCCATCTATCAGTAGAGATTAGTCAATGAGGTAAACAGAATCCAGCCCAATTCTTCCCTTCTGTCCTATTTAGAGGTGAGATTTTGGAAGGGAAAGGAGACTTTCATGCTCCCATTGGCTGCCTACACAGGCCCCTGAGTGAGACAAGGAAATTAACCCCAGAAACTTTCTCTGCCTCAGGCAGGAGGACGGCACTTGGCATGTTAGACCCAATAGAAAGAAAATGAGGGTGACCCAATGGACTGTGGTGGAGGACTATGGGGGCTTGGGTGGGGGTGTAACAACATACATTTATAGAGGTGTGAACATATATCCCTGAAACATAAGAGTTATAAACCAACACTACCTCAATAGATATCATTTTAAAAATCAAAATAAAGCAAAGCATCTTCTACCCAAAATCCATGATTTTGTGACTGACATTAAGGCAGAAGCTAATGCAGACACAGTAGCTGTGACACTCAGTGACGGTGTCACAACTCCTGCCTCAGAGGACTTTTGTGTAGCAGTTTGTCTGGGGGGCTGAGGGGTGAGGACTCTGGGTCTCAGAGCAGTGCTGCATAGTAATAGCCAATTTCCCTGTCATCGGGGGCCAGCCGGTCCCCTCTCTGGGCCTGGATTACAAGTCCCAGTTTTGCCACACACATGCAACGGGCCCTTAAGCAAATCACTGAACCTCTCTAAGTCTCTGTTTTCTCATTTATCATGAGAAATAAAAATTAATAACTTTTTCTTGACTCCTTCCCATGTACCAGGCCCTGCCTGACATCTACATGAATTGCCTCAATGGATCGTCACAACACCCCAAAGATTTAAGTCGAAGTATTATTCACAATTTGCAGACATGAAAAGTGAGACTCAGAAGGGAAAGTAACTTGCCCAGAGTTACACAACCACTAAGGGACACGACGGGGTGGACCCTAGGCCTGTCTGGCTGCAGAGGCACGGCCTGGACAACATATAAGGAAAAGGCATAGGAAATGGCCACCAGAGGGTCACCCAGAGCCTCCCTGCCTCCCCCTCTAGCCTGCTCTCCTCCACTCCCCCACACACACCTTTACTCCCTGGGTTCTGTGACTGCCACATCCTGTAATAGGAGCCTCCTCGGGCCCTGCCCTGGGCTGTGCAGCTCTGGTGTTCCTAAGGGACAGGACCCACCCCCAAAACCACAGAGCCCCCTCCCACTTCCTCCCTGGGGTCTGTTGGTCTGGGCCCAGAGCCTGCCCCTCGGGCCTCAGGGCAAGGCCCTATCAGTTTTGGCAGAAGCCCTTATCCACCCAGTGCTGAGGGGGCCCCCCTTGCCCCCCTTCAAAGAGCTCCTCTCAACACAAGCCCTGGCAAGGGGACTGGACTCCATGTGCCCACCCACCCAGGCTGCAGAGCTCAGGTTATAAAAGTTGGGTCTTTCTGGGACGCTAGAGAGAGTTCCAGACGAGGGAGCGATTCCAGACAAATTTGTTCATTGCCAGGTAAGGACAAGGAGGCAAACACGGGCATTTCTCAGATGTTTCTTGAGCACCTGCCATAATGTGGTGAAGTCATGCATCGCTTCTTAGAGCCAGGCCAGCCTGGGTCCAAATCCAGGCTCTGGCACCGACTACCTATGTGACTTTGGCCAAGTCACTTCTCTTCTCTGAGTCTCAGTCCTGCCATTAGTGAAAGGTTCCTGCTATCAATGACCCCAGATGGTTGTGGTGAGGACTCAATGAAGTTATGAAGCTCACGAAGTTCTCAGCATGGTGCCTGCCATATAGTAAAGGGAGACTCAAGCTGAGGTCAGGGTATGGTGTGAATAATTCAGGGCAGGATATGGAGAGGGCAGGAGACTAAAGTACTAAAGGCAGGAAGGGAGGAGAGACCTGACTTGGGGGAATTGAGAAATAATCAGTCTTAGGGACTAGGTACTGGTTGGGTGAATAGTGAATGAATTTAATTATCGGCTGGAACAAAATATGAACAGCTAATGCCATGAGTACGAATTTCCCCATGCAAAATTCATTCACCTCTGCAAACAAACCAGAAAACTTTCTTTTTCTATTATCCAGTTTAATCACTGTTCTGAGCTCCTCTGTCTCCAAGCAGCACTAAGCTGGATGTTGCCAATTCAAGGCAGTGCCAGGACATTCTCGAGCAGCCAGAGTAGGCTCAGCCACCTCAGAGGGCTCCTGTCCTTGTTCAGGGGGACAGGAGGTGTGTTCAGGGGCAGCACTTACCCTCTGGGTGGCTTCTTTATGGGTGTGGCTTTGGCAAGGGTAGTGGTGACTCCTCAGAGGATCCTGCTTATGTTGGCACCTGCCCTGCACATGTCTGTACCTGGCTGGTGCCCACCTTGCAGTTTCTGGGCCTGCATCTCCCAGTGGCACACTCAGAGAGCCCCTTGCCTGCAGACTCTGGGGTCCCAACTATGCCTTTTTAGTCACTTGGGCCAGGCTTCGGCTCAGCTGGCAGGAACAAGGACAAACATGCTGATTGAAATACTGGAACATTTCCCTAGTTGTTTGAAAGCCATGGTTTCAAGTCCACCAGTCATTATGGTGCTTCCTTCAGAACCCACGACCCAGTCCTCCTCAAGATCCAGAACCTCTATTGTTAAAAGGGAGTCTGCATCTTTTTTAACCTCTCACAGTGTGTCGCCTGGCCACATGAAAAGCTATTGGCTCCACTGCTTTCTAAGTGCTTTGTGCCTGCTGTTGAATGTATTCCTCCAGCAATCCACAATTGCCTTCCTTTTATAAATGAGAAAACTGAGGCATGGAGAAGTCAAGTAACTTGCTCATGATTGCACAGTCGAAAGCGGCAGAGCCTGGACTTGAGGCACATCACAGGATGTGCAAGGAAATGGAAAGCTCAAATGTGAGGTGGTGAAAAGGGCAGGCTGTGGTCAAGGACGAGCAGAGCAGGAGCAGGGGAGACAAAGAAAAGCCAGTGGAGAGCTGGTTCTGGGGAGCGTGAGGCAATGCGTCCCTGGTGAGGACACAGCAGTGTCCACTGGGGCTCCCAGCTCTGTGTCCACAGGTCCTGGCCACGAAGATGCTGCTGTTCTGGGGACCATTGTTATGCTGGGGGCTGCTGCCCCAGGCTCAAGGGGAGGCCCAGCACCCGCTCTGCCTGCGGATCAGCATGGATCAGCTGAAAACAAGTAAAATTTAAGGGGTGGGCTGTGGGAGAGAGCAATTTAAGGAAAGGTGGGGGTGAAGAAAACACTCTTGTCTCCCCCAGGCTTTTCACTGGCCCCACTCTCACCAGCATCAGAATGGGCCTTTCTTCACCCAGATCTGACCCACCCTTGCCCAGCTCTAATGCTTGCTGTGGCTCCCCAGTGTTCTCAGGAGAAACTTCAAGCTCCTCACCCAGACATTCAAGATCATGCATCACCAGCCTCCACCACCTCCTGTTCTGACAATTCCCATAAACTCCCAGCCACTTTCCTTTCCTGTGCTGTTCCTTCGGCCTACAATGCACTTCCCCTCCTTCCCAGCATCCTTTGCGGCACAGCTCCAGTGGTCTCCCTGATGGCAATCCCTCCCAATATCCCCGGGCAGAAGGAGACTCCGTCCTCTGGTCTCCTTCAACGCTGTGATAAAGCCCCTTATATGGCCTCATCCTAACATCGTACTTGTCCTATCTGTCTGTCTGTCTCTCCCTCTTGGCCCTGAGCTCCTTGCTGTCCAACCCCTCCAACCCATTCACCACAGTTCAATCTCACTAAGCTTTCAGGTTTATAAATTTATCAGACTCCTGACCACAGCAGGGCCTTTGTTCATGCTGCTCTCTTTACCGACTTCGCGCTCCTCCCAGACCTTGAGGATTCCTTCATTCAGATTTCAGCTCCATGCCTCCTCAGAGCCGCTCTCCTGACCACCCTGCCTGAGACAGAGCCTCACCCCCGTCATGGTCCAATTCAACTCCATCTTACTGTCTTTGTAGCACTTTCAAAACTTGCCTGTTTGCTTATCTCCTTGCTGGGTTGTTGTCTCCCCGCCGAGGAGGTACACTCCCGGGGAGCAGGAACCACATTGCTCCTGTTCCCTGGGTCCAGGAAAGAGGAAGTGCTTAATGAGAACTTGCTGTTAAGTGACCTTTTAAATTGCTGAGTCCGAGCAGGTGCTAGTGGGTGTCTGTCGAATGACTGAAGGAAGGTGAAATCCAAACTGAGATGGGCCTGTGTCCTCAGACATCTCAGACCTGCTTGCGGAACACCAGGTCCTGGAGCGCATGATCAAGGTTCCCCTGACTGGAGAGGGCACTGCCATCCTGGACCACCTGCCCTACGTGAGAGAAGGCCTCTCCAAGAAGAGCAGCGGGCTGGACCTGTCACTAGTCGGGGACCTGCTCTCAGGGAAGAGCCTTCCAGCGCTGGGCAAGCTGCTCCAGGCAGGCAGGTGAGTCTGGAGGCCACTGTTGGCCTTTCTCTCCGCCTCGGGCATTTCCCTGAGTGTCCCCAGTGTCATCACCTGTCAGTGAGCACCTGCAGGGCGGGAGGCCTGGGTGTCCCTGTTGGCTCTCTGCAGCCTGGAAGGCACTCAGAAGTGCATTTTTTTTTTTAGATTAAAAATAAAGACACATTTTAATCCAGGTTAGTTTTGGATAACTGAACTGAATATAAAAGAAGTTAAATGTTTAAGAACACTGAAAACCTTTACCAAAGATAGTAGAAAATATCAATAGTAAAGGTATTCATATCTTTATTATTTTTAATTCATGATGAAATTTGCTAATATTATTGGTGCCATATTCACTGAATATGCCTAGAATCTGAGTCACAGAAATTAAATTTACAAAGTACTAACTAATAGACTAGCAAAAAAAATTCCAAGCCACTTGAAATCTGCCCAGGAACAGAGCAGGATCTGAGACAGGGATTCCAGCCCGCCACCCTCCGCTGACAGCTGGCTACTGCACACTTGCATCGTGTTTTTAAAAATATTCTAGTGAATTGCCAATATTGAAATATCTGGAGGTTTTCAGTCAACATCTAGGTTTTCTGTTGTTAGTTTATAGGACTGCCATAAATAACCACAGCCCGAGTGGCTTAAACGGCAGAAGTTTGTCGTGTCACCGTTCTGGAGACTGCAAGTTCAAGAACAAGGTGTCAGCAGGGTGGTTTCCTCCCAGCGGCTGGGAGCAACAACCTTCCCCTGCCTCCAGTGGTTTGCCGCCTGTGCCGGTGGGCCCTGGATGCGTCACCGGCTTGAATCTATGATTCCAAAATCCCTAGCACTTTGGGATCCTCTCAGCTCAGGGAGATGCTGGGACCCGAGGCCACTGAGGGGAGCAGAAGGCTCAGGTCGTCCCTCCCCGGTGCTCAGTAGGGCCGATCCCTGAGTGGGAGGCAGTGAGTGGCCGCCGTCCCACCGCCTCGATTCTTGCCTCCTCACTTCTCTTTTGCAGCAGGTTTATATTTGAGTCCAGACAGGCGAAAGTGCAGAGGCGGTGCCTCCACTGTCTTCTCCCCAATTTTTAGAAGAGGATACTGAGGCCAGAGAAGAGAAGGGACTGGTCAGGCCTTCCAGGCTTGGCGGCAGGAGCAGGAGCGCAGTGTTCTGTAGCGGGACTGGAGATCAGAGAAGAGGTCATCCCACAGCTGCCCCCCGACCTCCGGAGTCACCCTATTCCAGCCACCCAGGCCACATTCTACAGGTCACACCAACACCCCCATTCCTCTCACAGGTTGATCATAGAAGATGCCCGAGGGCCTGAGGTCACCCTGAAAATCCTGAGCGACAGCCTGCTGCAGGTCACACTTCGAAGCAAGCTGTACCTCTCGCTCCAGGGGTGAGAACCCAGGTTATTTCCCCCTACCTCCTTGGTGCCAAGTGGTCAGGCAGGGCTCGCAAATCCCCCTGTCATCATGGAGGCCCTGATAATCCTTTCTACCTGGGTACATTTCAAAGTTATTTTTACTGTGTGGGAAACGGAGGCACAGAATGGGAGAGGGACCCGGCCAGGACTGCGCAGTGAGTTGGCAGCAGAGGCTGAGATAAAAACCTCTGATCCCCTTGCCGGGGGAGATGCACCCCACCTGCGGTGGCATGTAAACAGGACAACCTGAGAGGGTCTGGCTCAAGGGTCTGGACTCCAATCCCTCTCAGCACCGAGGTGACTTGAGAAAAGGCATCCATTCCCTAGGCCTCAGTTTCCCCATGTATAAAATGAGTGTGCTCAGGTCCCCTGTTGCACTAAACTGTGGAGAGTTCGCTGCCAAGCCCAGAGTCTAGATCGCTCACTGAACGTGGATGACGCCAACGTGGAGCTGCAAACAGAGGAGGCAAAGGCAGGGTACCATGGGTGACGTTTGCACATGAAATGGGAATATTCTTGTTCCCTTTAGGAATATGTCCACTTCTGTTTTCCTTGGACGTTATGGCTTTCTTGGTCCAGCTTCCCTCTTTAATAGATATGTGAGCACAAGGATATTTCTTTGATAGATTCATGGGCACATATAAATATTCCTCTGCTATACGATAGACATTTCATTGCCCTTGTAAATGCAACTTGACCTTGCCTAGTGGGGACAGTAGCAAACTAGAGAGCAAGTGGCCCATCTCAAGGTCACTGTCAGTCCAGATGACTCTCACCTGTGGGGACACCAGCCTCGTATTGTCAGAGCTTTCAGGTTTCCTGAAATTGAGCCCTCCATATTTTTAATGAGCTCTCCTAGTTTTTTCATTTGTGCCCTCCACACAACAGCAGGCCACCAGTCTGTGACTTCTTAGACACAAACTTGGACTGTGGCCTACAGCCTACCCAGACATGCTGCCCTTACAGGATCCTGCGGCTCAAAGTCCTCAAGAACATCCGTGCTGGGGTTCGGCTGGAACAGATGGGGAGCAAAACCCAGGTGGTCCCGGAGGAATGCCAGACCCCACCAGGATACCTGAGCATCACAGTTCTGGAGAAGTGAGTACCTGCCCACTCCTACTTTCGCTGGGCAGGGCCGGGTGCCAGACCTCCCTGCACTGCTCCTACTGCTCAGCTGCTCACGAGACTTAAGGCTGAGGCTGCCTCTCCCCAGCCTGGTGACCATGGGATGCTTGGGACAGGATCATCTCCAAGGCCACAGGCTGTACACACCACCCATCAGCATCTCCTGCTTCCACATTACAAATTAAGAGTGTGCATCCACCCAGGTTCAAATCTCAGCTAGCACACTTCCTAATGCCACAGCCAGCATGGGGTGGTTGTGGGGAAGAGATGAACTAATCTTGTATCCACTCAGCACAGAACCTGTCACATAAGGTGACTACTCTCTATGATGTTTGTTTTTATCCAACCACTAAAACTACCTCCTCCAGGAAGTCTTCCATGACTTCTACTGCCAGATGATCTCTCTCTCCTTGAAAATCCCAAAGACCTTTATCAGAGAGAGAAATGAAGAGACCATGGTAGAAACAGAGAATCAGGAAGAAATAAAGAGGAGGAGAAAGTCAGGGAGAGAGGAAGCAAGAAGGCACAGGGTTGGGGGTGGGAACAGAAAAGGAAACGGGAGGCTTGGGAGCAGGAAAAGAGGAAAGGAAGAAGTCAGCAGCCAGAATGGAAGAGCCCCTTGGGGTTCCCAAGTTACACAGGCTTGCTAAGGCCTTCCTTAGCCCTGCCCTGGATTCCCCTGCCTCTGGCCACAATCTCCCCTTCCATGGTCTCTCATAGCACACCTGCTCTCCCCCACCCTTAGGAGGGACACCCTTCCTGCCTACCTGGTGAACAGTGTTCTGGAGTTGGTGACAGGTTTTCTGGATGGGGTACTGCCCTTCCTCCTACAGAAGATGGTATGTTGTTCATCCTCCCCCGCCCTTGGGAGAGGAGTTTGACCCCAAGGGAGAGCCCCCCACCTCACCCTGAACCCAGTGAGGACTCCCTTATGCCTTCCCTCCAGGTGTGCCCCCTGGTCTCGACATTACTCAACTTGCTACTGGAAGACCTATTACACATCACGCTGCGTATGTTGCTCCTGGCATGGACGGGATTATCTGTCCCCCTACTGTGTGTCAGTGATGGCTCCAGGCTCTGGGAATATGACAGGGAACAAACCAGACAAAAACCCTGACCACATGGGTCTACTTTCTAGTCAGAAAGAAAAGGGGGACTATGCCCTATAACCTTAAAATGTCATCAGGGCCCCCTCTCCAAGTCTGTTTGTCAGTCTGCAAAATGAGATAAACCATAGACCCACAGAATAGGACTATTGCAATTACACATAAATTTAAATTTATGTTTTTAATTTATAAATGCACATATAGGTAAAAGCAGGCACAGTTATTCAATAAACATTCATTGTTACAAGAAGCTCAGGCCCAGCCCACAGGCCACTTAAAGCTAAGCAGAGGAAAAAGGAATTTCTCCCTTTTGCTGCCTCCCACACCCTTGCAGCCACCCTCCAGGGGAGGCTGAGACCCAGCTTCATTTCTACATTGCAGCCCCGGCCATCTCGGGCCCAGAAGACTTCCAGTACTACATCACCACCACGAGATTCACAGAGGAGGCCATCGTGATGGAAGTCCAGGTGAGCCAGCCCCTGGGCCGGGGGCAGACACTTGGAGAATGCCCCCTGCTCTGGGGGACGATGGGAACAGAGGGAAATGAGATGGGGCTCCTCGGGAAGGAGGCATTGAAGGGGAAGGAGGAGAAGGGGCAGCGAGGGAGGTGGCAGCGAAGAGAGAAGAAAGGAGTGAAGAAGGGAGAAGAAAGGAAGACACAGCATGAGCTCCCAAAGGCTCAGGAGCTCATGCTCAGCCCTGGGTGTCCCACCTCAACCAGAGGGAGCAGACGAGGCCCCAGGGATGTGAATCCTGTGAACAAGGATCAGGGTCCCAAAAAAAGGGCAGGTGGGGAGGCTCAGGACCACAGGACCACAGGACCATGCCTAAAGTCCCAGCTGGAAGGGGCCCCTCAGATGGGGAAACTGAGACCACATCTGCCCAACTCTTGTCCACTGCTCTTTCCCTGTCCTCACGGAATGATGGGAGGTGGGTCAGGAGCATGGGAAGGGTTTGAGTGGTCAGGAGGAGGCACTGGAGACAAGGACGCAGCGGAGGGAAAGGAGTCAGAGGAGGAAGAAGTCACTTCACCTTTCTGGGTTTCGGTTGCCTCGTGGGTGAAATGGTAACAAGAGTCCCGTCTCCTGGGCTGTGGTGAGGCCCCAGGGAGAGTGTGTGTAAATGTTCAGCATAGCAGCGGGCACTGAGGGGGTATGACCAGTTGTTGGCCAGGAAGGGAGACTGTTCCACTGAATTTCTCTTTCCTTGACTTCTCTAAAGCTCGTGACCCGCTGTGGCCCAGGCCAGAAAGCACCAGGGCCTGACTACCTGGACCCCAGTTCCCTCCCCACATTAGCCCAGGGCAGCATGGCAGATTTGGCCTTCTGGCCGGAAACCTACAATGTCATCCTGTCCTGCCTCCACAAGAGCAAGGAGATCCACGTGGATCCCCAGGAAGCCACGGTGAGTGCTTGGGGGAGGGGAGTGGGGCTGGGGTGCAGTTTTAAACCCTGTAATTCCATATCTATAGAAACTTTTACACCAGTGGGAAAGACCGTATGTGCAAGGCTGTTGTTTAAGCTTCACTTATTATGTGTCTATCAACAAAGAATTAGCAATATAGGTCAGTTTATGTTCCTATAATGCAGAAGAATATGCAGCTGTTATAAAGAAGTAGGTTAGAGTTCCCATCTACTCAAGCTCACATGAGTGTAGAAAAAGGACTATCAGGAGATACCCCAAAAATGTCAACTGTAGTTACCCCTGAGAATAGGATTTAGGGGAAAAGGAGAAGAATTGTTGGGTAGATTTTTACTTTTTACTTTATACATTTTTGTGGCGTTTTCTATAATGACTTATGATTTTCAAAAATCAAGGGCACATCGACAGGCAGAAATACGATAAAGCAAGCCTAGGAAAATAGCAGAACCTTAGTGATAGGTGAACAAATGCTCCCTATGGAATTATTTCAATGGCTACATGTGTGGAAACTTTCATAATAAAATGTTGTAGGAAAAGTCATTGAAACAGGGCCTCCCCTGGTGGCACAGCGGTTGAGCGCTGGGCTGCGAAGCTGCACGCAGCATCTGCAGCGCTGGTTTGATCCGGGGCCACAGGCAAGGGTCCCACATGGCGCGCAGACCTCTCCTGCCGCACCCGCTGCTCCCCTCAGCAGTGTGTTTCGTCGGTCTGCCTGTTCTGTTCCCCGCTCTGGCTCTGGTGAATTCTCTCACCCTCCCATGCTTCTGACTGTACCCAGTGCTTGTATAAATAAATAAATAAATCTTTAAAAAAAAAAAAAAAGTCATTGAAACAATAAAAAGTGAATCTTTCCAAATGAATCGTCATGAAGAACCAGATGAATGGCTCCTCCCATACAGAGAAGGATGGGTGTGCAGATGGTGCATCCAGTAGGGGACAATTACATCTCACGGAACCCCAATGTTCCCTTCCCTGACCCTGCTCAGAATAGACGAGCTGGGTTCTAAAATTCAGCACATGCTTTGCCCTTTATCCAGGCTGCTGCCCTCATTCAGCTGCTGTCACTGAGAGAGCTGGAGTCCAGTTCCAAGGTGGGTGTTGCCAGTTTCCCTTTCACCACCCTAGTTAGGATCTCAGGGAAGAGTCAAGAAGAGGGCAAGTGGGGACACGCAGAAGCGGTTCCATTTAGCCAGAGTTTCCTATTGTGGCTGCCACAAATCACTGAACTCACTTCAGGGGTACTGTCAGGATTAAAGGAAGTGGTTCAAATAAGATACAGATGTGCAAGGTGGCTAATAGCAGCGACTGTGTGCGGTCCTTCTGGTTATGTCAGTGTAACACTTGCGTCCCTGCTTTTATCCGTGAACACACTAGGTCCAGCAAGGAAATTCACAAGCTCGCATTGCTTAGCAAGAGGCAAAACCAAGATTTGAACTCTTCCTGGGCTCTAGGTCAATATCCATGCTCGCTATTCTCCAAAGGCTTTTAGAGCACGGCCTCTGCTGGATAAACAATTAGGACAGTCACTACAATAGCTAATAAGGACAGAGTTCTGTTCTAAGCACCCACATAGATTAACTCACTGAATCCTCACTACACCTTTATGGGTGATTATTATCTCCATATTACAAGTCTCAAATTGAGTCACTGAGGGGTTAAGAAACTTGTCCCAAACCACACAGCTTGCAAGTAGTGGAGCCAGGACCCTGGCTCCAAAATCTATTTTATTATGTGTTATGTATGTCCAGAAGGAGGACATAATCTTACCTCAAAAGAGCTCAGGGGAGGTAAGCGACTATCCCAAGGTCACACGGCACCATTCCAGCTGAGCTAGAATGAAAACTAAAACACCCTAGGCATCCTAAGACGGCCTGGTCCCATCGGCTGCAAGCTGGGGGCTAAGTCATGCCATCTCTTGTCCCCCTGCACCTTTTCTGCTTTCATCCAGCCTTATAATCAGTCCAGAGGACATGTGACACTGACCATCCGCACCCCAGATGCCCCCATGATCCACCCTGAGAGCAACATGGCCACAATCATCCAGGAAGGCTCCTTGGTGCTGTCAGGGTCCAGCCACACCTTTGTCTCAGTTCCGTGGGTGAGTAAGAGCTCCGTGGGGCACCTGTGTCCCCTCCAGCAGCCTGGGGCAGAGTAACAGGAGGGCTGCAGCAAACCTCCCCCGCCAGGTCACTCACTCGTATCAAGTCAACCCACATTTAAATAACCATGACTGTTGTTAAAATAGTAAAATGCTTGAACTCCTGCTCCCCTCAGTCCAGCAGCCAGTGCTCCCCAAGGGCCTCCTCAGCAGCTGAAGGGCTTTGTCTCTGAGCCCACAGCACAGGGCCTTTGCAGGCCGGTCGTTAAGTCTATCACCTCTCTCCCCTGGACGTGACTGTATCCTTAACCCTTGGCCACAAAAAAAGGAGTAAGAAACAGAGTTCCTGTTTGTGTTAGATGGGTCTCAGGTTTCTCTATTCCCCAAAAGAGAGTGACCCAAACTATAAAGGGCTGGACCCTGGCAGGGATTCTGGGAATACAGCCCACCCGCAAAGTTTCAATGTCCCCATTCTAAGTTCCTTTAGTTTTCATTTAGCTTGAAATTGGGGAGGCATTCAGATAAAAGGGCAGGAGGGTCACCCCACCATACATGGTGAGCTCAGAAGCATCCAGTGTGGACAGCAGATCAGAGGTCTCAGTTGGCATGATCCTTGGCCAAGAATCTAGTCACCTGGGCTGATGGTGAAAGTGCTGTCTCTGGTTTATATGGTGAGCCTGTGAGTTATGGGGGCCCACCGATAACCCCTAAAAACCACAGGGTGTGCTTCCCGCATCAGAGAATCAGAGACCCCACACCCAGTCACTCAGTGGTGCCCCCTCCTCCTATCCAGCCCTGGCCTCCCCTGTGCTGCAGCAGCACCCAGCACCTACCTGTGCCCTCGCCCATGGCAGCACCCACACCCACAGTCATGGTCTGAACACACGTGCTGGGTGTTCCGGCCAGGTGAGGGGGTGCCAGCCCAGGGAAGGATGTCTCAGGGGTGGGGGCAAAGGAAGAGCTCTGGCTAGATTTCCTGTTCCAATTTCAATTCCTCACAGAAACTCCTTTCAAAAGCTAAGTTTGTCTCAAGAAATCAGAAATTAACGCTCCAGTCCACTCCATACAGGTAAATGAATTTTGGTCTTGGATACTCAGAAAAAAGTAAGATGCTAGAGAGAGGGATGAGATGGGGGGAGAGTATGGTTAAGGGGTTGCTGTGCCTGCTGCACCCCCAAGCAGCTGCCACCACCTGAAAGCGTAATCTCTTTTTCTCTGGTAGCACCAAGATCATCCTCGGTCCTAACCCTGCACTCACAAGGCAGGTGAGTCTCTTTCTTTCTTCCATTTCTTGCCCTGAAGCCTCCATGCCCACCAGTATGGTAGGAGCCCCTCCCAGTGAAGAAAGGCTGAGAGGTGAAAAGACAACAAAACAAAAGGGCTGAATAAAAACAGGCACCGGGAAATGCTTTAAAATTATCACCCCTGTTAGATGCAGTCGTGGAGCTGGTTTTCCTTGCATCAAATCCCTGAGTTTAGAGGTCCTAAGGATTATCTGCCCAGGTCAGAGATTTCTTCCATAGCATGTGATCAGACCAGGACTGCTGTGCATACAGTTGCACGGGTTGTGCACTGTTCAAGCGACCCACATATGCTATATTGGGGAAAGAGTTGATTGAAGTTTTCCCCAGTCTGTCCAAATAGGCTGGGGCAGGCCTGACAAAGACCTTTGAATCACCCTGGTCACAGGAGACTTGCTACCTCTTGAGACAATTCCTGCCCCATTATCAGGCTGTTCTCAGTATCGGAGAGCAACTCCTTGGACTGACCCAAAGTTCAGGTGCTGTGAAGCTCTGGCCCAGCCAATTAACATAGTCATTGCAACCTGAGGTGAGGGTGACTCTTTCAGGTCCCTCAACTTTTTCTAGTCCCTTCACAAATGTCCCTTCACATTGGCTCCCTTGCCCTTTCAAAGAGGAGCTCCCAGGACTACCCCTGAACATTAGGGGTCCCCCATTCCTGTGAACAGAAGTGACCTTCCTGTCCCTCTTTCATCTGTTTCAGGAAACACATCTAGAGGCCCTTGTCTCAGAGCTTCTGCAGGGCAAGTTTTGTCCTCACTACAATGGTGAGCACATGTTCTTCTCCTCTGCCCACACAGCAGCAGCTGGTTTCCACCTTGTCCCCAGGGTGGGTTAAGAATTACCCATAGGCAAAGCAGAAAGAGGCAGGCTGGAGACTGAAGTCTGGGGTGTGGTGGATGAGGAGTGCAGGGAAAGTGCCCTGTCTGCAGTCCTGTCCTCCCCACCAGCAGCAAGTGGTGAGAGAAGCTCAGAAGTAGGGCAAGAGCCTGGGAAAGGCTTCTGCTGGGGTAGTGGAAAGTAGAAAGTGAGAACAGGCAGGGACCTCACAGATGGTGGAGCTCGCAGTTCAGGGCTCCAAAGCCTGCAGGGGCCAGGAGGTAACCTGCCCTAAGGAGCCGCCCAAGGGGGCCTAAAACCTCCAGGTGCTGAACAAAGTGGGCTTCACACACTCAGCTCAATCAAATGTTGCACAGGGCAGCTATTTTTTATGTTTGAGAGATGTCAGAAAGCTGAATTTCTTTGAGCTATCACCCCCCTCTAAGCATGAAAAACAAATGCAAATGTATCCAAACTACTGCTGTCTTAGTTTGGGCTCCCCCAGAAGCAGAAATTGAAATAAAGGAGTACAGTCATTTCTCGGGAGGTGGTCCTGGAAAGCCAGAGAAGAGTGGGCAGGGAGTTCCATGGAGCCTAGTCAGGATCCTCTGGTCCACAGAACTCACTGGCTCCCTTGCCTTGCACCTCACCTGACAGCTGGGGATACACACCACCAGGGGATGTTAGTCACACTAGAGTCCTGTCCAAATCTCACTTACTAGGAACAAAAGAGTCAAAGCTGCTGTAGAAATCCAGGAAAGCTACCTGGAAGAAGTGGCTTGAGGGTGAGAGAACTGGCAGGGTAGAGATTCATAAAAGCCTAGTCAGTGCAGAGGAGAGAACAGGAAGGCCCAGGCCAGGTCCTCAAGGTCAATCTCAGAAACTCCATTTGCCAAAAACTAAGGGGCCACAATTAATTCATTGAAACTCAGCTTGCAAAATGACCAATTCTCCAAGTTAACCACATTGATCAGTTTACCAAATGCTTGCATTAAGACTCTTTTTCATATATTTGATCACTGAGTATATTTCTTCTTCAATATATTTAATGACTATTTCCTTATGAGTACACCTTTCTGGTGCTCTAAGGTTAACTTTTCAGTTCATATCAATTTCCTTCTAATCCTTGCCTGAGACATTTTCTGGTCTGCAAACATTTTAGTGTTTTTAGGCACAGATAGCATTTTCAAAAAAACAAAATTACAAGAATAAAATTCATTAAGAGATTCATAAGAAGCCTTCAGCAAGCTGAACACTCAAAATGCTGCTAAGAGATCTGTCTTCATAAAAGTGTGTTCCTACTTACTGAATATCTGTAAGATAGATTTTTAATTGATAGGTGAAACAGACAGGTGGAGACCTGGCTTTCTGGAGTGGAGTGGCTTGATGGGGGATGAGATGGTGCCCCCTGAGGAAGGGATGGGAAGAAGAGGGCACACCCAGTCCCTTCTCTGTTCTGGGCAGTGGAACAGTCAAAGGTCAGGGTCAGTTGGCCTGGCCCCAAACTGCTTCCCAGCCCTACACCACAGACTCCTTTGCCCACAGGGCTCTGAACTCCTCCCCAACCTCTCTTGCAGAGCTACTCAGAGAACAAGACCTCCCACTGCCCAATATCAAAGGCATCTCTTTCAACAAGGCCCAAATGGAGTTCTCCAAGGTAAATGCTGGGGAAAGGAGCTTTCAGAAAAGGCTCAGGGACACTTGCCCATGGTGGCAGAACCAGATGCCAACTGGGATTCATCTGATGTCAAAGGCTGAACACTTACCCACCCACCACACTAAAACTCCACACACTGTGTCCAAATCCCAGAACAGGGGCTATTGCCTGTGGTACCTGCCATCTGTGAACCCCCAGAGGGTGGGAGCCAGGGCAGATCCCATTCTGGCTGAATACCAGGGAGGGAAGATGTGGCCACAAACAAAACAAGCAGAGGAATCAGGAGAATTTGCTGCCTTCTTGGCCCTCTTACCGACCCTCAGTGGGATGAGCCTAAGAAGAGGCTGTTAGGAGTTGGTGGATGGGGCAGAACTTAGAGATGCCATTGATTGCTTCGTTTCCTGCCTTTGAAAGATTCCCATTCTGGGAAGGGATCTCCCCCAAATCAGAGAGAAAGAATCAGACAGAACCTCTCTGTTTCTCTGTGTGCCTCCCTGCTTCTATCCACAGGAGTCCATGCTGCTGACTGTCCCAGAGGAATAGCTGGTTCTTCCCAAGGCGGCCTCTCCCCTCAGCGACAAGCCTCCAGATGCTTGAGAGCCCACGCGTGGCCACAGACATGGTGAAAAACCCACTTTAATAAAATATTTTAAAAATTGGAAAAAAAAAACACTTTAAATAAACATGACTCTTGATTGAGAGGAGTCTGGACTCAAGTTTGCTAAGGGGCTCCGAGAGGGGGCAGGGCTGCTTGAAATGTTTAAAGGAACAATTCCCTTAGTTCTCGCTTTCCTGTGCACCCTCTGACAAGATTCTTTATGCAGAACTAGAGTCTCAGGAGAGGGAGCCTCCTCAGAAAATGGAGAAAGGGCTGGAGCTTCAAAAGCCAAGTTCCAGCAGGGTTGGTGCAGAGAAAGAACATGGCAAATGTATCCGCACCAGCACACGCACGCACACACACACACACACACACACACACGTGCGCACACAAGATTCCCTGCTTGAAAAGGAGAAAGAAGATGGCAAAACAGAGGGGCCCCATGAACCCAGAGATATTTGGGAGGGCCTCAGTGCCGAGGAAAGAGGGTAAAGGCAGCAGCCAGATCTCCAAGCTGGGAGCGGGTCCAGCTGGGTGGCTATGGGGCAGCCCCACCTCAGACGGTCCTGGTCCCAGAAGGTGTGGTCAGCCCCATGGTGACTTTTCAAGTGCTGAGATCAGTGCTAACAAGGACGAGAACCAAAGCCCTCCCCACCAACGTCCCAGCCCCACGAGACCCAGGAGAGCAGGACAACAAGCAGTGAAAGGCTGGGCACCAGAGGGCTTTGCAGTCAGAAATATAAATCACTCCCTGGTTGCCAAGGGTAGAGATCGCAAAGAAACCAGATGTTTCTTCCCACAACTGGGCACTTGCCAAAACTCACAGCAAGTCAGAACTGGCCCCCCAAAAGACAAGTGAACAGAAACTGAATTCTGAAGAATCCCTAGGTCAGGCAGGATGGAGTCCCTGTGTTAAAGTCACTGTCTTGGAGGGACAAGCAGTAGGCACTGGGTGGCCCGGGTGGCCCCTGGAGCTGAAGTGGTTGTCAGGGAGGCCCTTCTGGAGACCAGTTCTCCACACGCAGCCTGAATCACAGAAGACTTCTCGTGGACCAGCTGTGAGTTCGCTATCTTGTAGTAGGGGTTGAGCCCAGAGTGAATCATGCTGTAGATTCTTTATTTGACTCCCTAACCCATTTTACAATGCCCAGCCTTGAAGGAAAAAAGTTCCCAACAGGCAGCCCCCAGAGAGACCTTTGAGCTAGCGGGCAGGACCACGCTGGCCTTGGGGTATGCACCACATACAGATGTTAAGGTGGAGGCCAGACACAGGTTCCCAGAGGAGACCTGAATCCTTAGCCCAAACCCTGATTTCCCACCTGTGTGTGAGTGCGTGGCAGGCACAGGGTAGACACACTGTATCACTAAACCACAGGAATGGGTTCTGAGAAATGCTGTGTTAGGTGAACTTGTCATTGAACATTGGAGTATCTGTACACTTACAAGACCAGGTGATCTGGCCCACCCCACACAGGGCTGCCTGGTCTGGCCCACCCCACACCCGGGCTGGCTGGTCCAGCCCACCCAACACCCAGGCTGGCTGGCGTAGACTATAGGGCGGTCATCAGATATGTGCCCATCACTGACTAAGTGTCGTGTAAGCAATACATGACTGTGCTGAATACAAAAAGGTGGAATAGAGAGACATCCCCGGGGCCTTGAAGAAAGCTGGGCCAGCCTTGGCTTGCCTCTGGGCAGGAATGATATGGCCAGGAGAAAACCGTCCCATCATCCGTGGATGCCCTGCTAGGACTTTAACAGGACATCTCACGTTTGCCTGCTGGCGAGCACATCTGCGATCCCGTCAGATCCTCAGAAAACGCCCAGGGGTGCCCGATGCAGTGTCCCATCACCTCTATTTCCAGGGGCGTCTACAGAAGAGTCAACTATTTCCTTTTCAAAAAGCATGCTCCCTTGTAGCCAATGGACGACAGAGTAGCAGAGACACTCAGAAGGAAAGCAGCAAAAATAAAGTGCCATCACCACTTGCGCCTCTGAGAAGGAATGAAAACTCCTTTTGGCACAGACACACTCGACTTTCCTTCCCCAGGGAGACCACAGGCCCACTAGAGAGAGACCTCTGTGGGGCAATTGGGTGGAAAAGACAGAGATCTGCAACGTGTCTTGAAGCAAACACTGAGCCTTTTTGTGACGCTGACACGTGAGTGTCCAGGTATGTGCATGTTTGTCGTGGAATGAGTCAAGGAAGGTCTGTGCTCCCACTGAGAACAAAAACTTCAAAGTGATGCTAAAGTGTGTCTTACACGTGCCTTCACACGATGAGAATACTGTAAACTGTCGTTTTTTTTTTTTTTCAGGAAGGAATCATAGCTAAAAACCCATATTTTCTTCTTGCAAACAAGGTGTAAATAAGGAAAGTCTAGGCACATGGTATAAAATCTGACGGAATGGTCCAGGAAACACTGAAAATACCTGATACCACACTGATTAAAGGAGGAAGAGGATGGGGAGGAGAAAAGGAAAAAGAGAAAGCGGAGGAGTGGAAGTGAGGGAAGGGAAGAGAGAAGGGAGGAAAAGGAAAATGAAGGAATAACCACTTGGGAAGCAGGTGACGCCAAACTGAATCATTCATCCCGTGTGATTCTAATGCCTCCCTGTGAGAAGTATAATTGTTCCGGAAACGAAGGTGCAGAAAGGTAACACCCCAAGTCGCACCCCAGTGGGTGCTGCACCAGGATCCACAACCGGATGCGACCCACACCGAAGGCCTTGCAGAGGCCTGGAGAAACTGATTCTTCCCCTTGGATAAATCACATTCCACTGAACATTTCAAGGCAGATACGACCCTGAGAAGCAGAAATTAAGGCAGATTTTACAGGCCATGTAAGAGTGTCAGGGACACCGTTTCTCTGCAGGGGACCCGGGTGAGGCCTGTGACTGGCAGTTGCGAGTGGAGACACCGAGAGAGGAAGGAAGGACTGAGGGCTACACGTGATCGTCGAGGTCCTGGAGTCGACGCCGAACCAAGAACACACACAGAAGCACAAAGGAGTCCTGGGGTGTGCGTCACTAAAGAACACTGTGAAGGTCAGTTCCTGAAGGTTGTCACCAGAACACCCAAGCTCAGCGCCTCTATTGAGACATCTTCAAGGCCATTAAGGGCTGGCGCCGGCCCAGATTCCTATGTGCCTAATCCACATCCAGCCTTGAAGAGTCTTCAAAGGGCCCTAACCGTCCAGAGTCAGCAGGTCAAATCACTTAAGGTTTGGGAACAAGCAGGCCTTTGTGCCCAGTGGAATAGAAGACCTGGGAGAAAGCTTCACGTGGATCCTGGATTAGTGCAATTCAGTGGCTGGCTCCCTCCTGAGCTTGGAGGAGAGAGACAAAGAGGCGGGAGCCAAGAGGCCCATCAGTGGTCGTATCAGGACATGTCCCTTCCTGCCCTCTGCCATAGGGCTATGGCTCGTGACCAGAGAATCACCGGAGGCACCCAAGTCCAGACTGCACCCACCCAGGTGTCACCTATTTTGCTCAAAAGATGACTCCCACTGCATCAGATGTCCAAGAAAAATAAGACCAGGACAGTTGGGTTTTGTCTTCTACTTATTGCCATGTGTGACACCCTCGGTTCTGGCCTCTGAGGAAAGATCTGACCTTTCAGTAATGCCTAAGGGGGTTCCTTAGTTGAGGTTCACACATGAGGACTGCCTTGGGGCTGGGGGCCTGCAGCCAACCCGCTGGGCCTGCTGGGAGGCAGGGACCTGCCCAACTCTCATGCTGCTGAGGGGGCACAGAAGCAGCCACAGCCATCCCCATCCCCGAAATCACCTCCCCGTCCACTCTGTTGCATCTGGTACCTGGGAAGATGACACAGGGCACAATCACAACAGGGAAAACGTCAGAAAAGTTCTAGTGGCAGGAACCTAATGGATGTGGCCTTCTCTGAAACAGGGGGAACCTGGGGCCCAGAGAGTAATCCGCCCCAAGTGGGGGTCCCGATCAAATCATGGGCACAGACCCAAATGACATTTTCTAAAGAAGACAGTCGGAGGTTCTACAGGCACAAGAAAGTTGTAGATCACCTGTTGTAGGGAAACACAAATCAGACCCACAAGGGGCAACTACCTCACCCATGAGACTGGCCCCTCTGGAAAGAGTGGCAGCAGCCACATCTGGAGGATGTGTGGAAAGAGCCCTCAGCCACCATCGCTGGGAGTGCAGTTTGGTGCAGCCCCTCTGGAAGTGGGGCTGGAAGTGGTAGAGCGTCTTCAGAACTTTAGAAGGGGAGCGCCATATGACCCAGCAATACCTCTGCTGGGTATTTACCCCAGGAATATGAAACTCGAACACGAGAACGCTCTCCTGTGTTCACAGCAGCTCCTCCACAATTGCCTAGTGAGCAACCAGACCAAGTGCCGTGGAGACAGGAGGTGGCAGATCAGAACTGCAGTTGTGCCCTCCGCGGAATACCACTCAGCCGTTACCCAACATGCGGGAGGACCCCAGAGGCCTCATAATCCCTTGAGTGGATTATGAGACGTCGAAGTCAGGAATTGAAAGGCAGTTACGGGGATATAAATAACAGAAAGACACACACTGGCAGAGCACAGCCAAACAAGGGGTAGACTTCATGAAAAATGCACTAGTTACCGAAGGGGGCCACGGGGACCCGGGGTGGGGGAGGGCGGGAGAGGGCACGGCCTGGGGTGAGCTGAGGGCCAGTGCAGCACGCGTACACGTTGAGGAGTGAAGTCGAGAGCCCAAAGTTATAGGGACATGTAAACCGCTGCCAAAGTTGATGGAGAGGAGAATAAGGAGGCGCGGAGACGGGCCGTCCCTGAACGTGCATCTCCCTGAGCCACGAATGTCACAGCCGTCAGCAGGTGCTGATCTTGGAAGTCAGCCGCTGTGACGCGGCCCTTATCAGCACACTTGGCTGTGTCTGTCACGTCTGACGACTTTCCCGACAGACCCGGGCCTATAAAAACGGGCTGCGACGTTCCCCTGACAGTCCGAGCAAGGGCAGGAGGAGAGGCAGCTACCGGAAGGCCTGCCGTCCACCCCGACCCATCGCTCTCGGACCAGGTAAGCCCGGGCTGCCGCAGATTCACCAGAGAAA